CACAGAAAACAGTGAAACAAAACAAAAGACCCAACAAGGTGCTAGAAGTGCAGCGGCAGCCAGCCGGAGCTCAGCCACCGACCGAGCCGGAGCCACACATATGTCTGCGCAGGTCGCCCCTTTGCTGTTCCCGCAGGGGATGTAATTAAGAGCCCTGTAAAGTTTGTTTTCAAAGTACTTTTCTCCCCTCACCACCGCCCCCTCCGTGGGTCTTGCATTTTTTCCTCCTTTGATAATGGAGTTTTCACAGGAACTTTACAAAGGCGCTGACACATTTTTACCAAAAAAAAAAAAAAACAAAAAAACAAAAAACCAACCCCCGAAACACATCTATTGTTCCTTTCCCTTGCTGGGCCGAAGCAGACTCCCTCTCTAGTTTCCTTTCCAAGGCCGGAGGGAAACTTGCCTCACAGAGCAAGTTGAAACAGAGGCGAGTCCTTGGACGCAGCCTCTGAGCACAGCTTCTCGTAGCTTCCAGTTGGGCGCCTGACGCTCCTATGTGCCTGGCCGTGGACGGAACTTTCCACGTGCACTGGGTAGCCTGTCCGGGCGTGGCCGAGCCTTGCTGCGTTCCCAGTGGAGTCGGAATGGCGCCCCCATCCGCCCCACCTCTCGGTGCAGAGGCCACCTCTGCCCGCCTTCACAGTGGCAGCACTGCTGAGTTTACCCAGCTCGCTCCATCATGCTCCCCACGTCCCAGGCCCCAGGGCAGCTGCCCACCACGGAAACGCTGTCTCAGCGGGAGGAGCTCGTTGCCTTGCACTGAGTGTCGAACCCGATGGGTGGTCCCTGCCGGCTCTGTAGTGTGGGGACCTTGGGTCCCAAGGATCTGTATTGTGTCCCTGGGACGTCCCAGGACACTGGCATGGTGCTGAGGGGGTGCGTTGTGCTGAGCGTGAATGCCAGCAGGTGGTTCTTGCGGGTTGTCGTGCTGTTGTGTCAGGGGGGCTCTTGGGGGCTAGTGGGAGCAGCAGTTGGGGTGCCAGAGCCCGCACCCCACAGACCTTCAGAGACCCCCGAGCCTTAACCTGACAGGGCTTGGTCCCAGGTGCCTCAGTGCCCACCATCACTGTTGCTGAGTGTCTTCCCAGACCTAGTGGCCCGTGGCTCCCCGCACTCTGCAGGTCCACATTCGCGGTGTCTGCTCTCAGTCCCCTCAGATGCTGCAGGGAAGCTGGTTTGGGTCGGGGGTGTGGGTGACCGGGGACAAACCGAACACACACTGTTCCTGCCCTTGGGACCACATGTGCCCCCCTCCTGGCTCCCCTTGGGACTCGCCACCTGGCACTGTGCAGACTGTGGCTGGCTCGGACCCCATCATCCCACTTCCCCTTACACCCATCCACACCAGCCTCATCCCACAGATGCTGCCGTCCACTCTCTCCCGGATCGGGGCCCTGTGCATGGAGCTGTGGTCTCAGCAGCGTCAAGCAGATATTCACTTCCTGCCAGTTTCAGCATCCCATCCAGATGCTGGTTCCAGCGCCTGGTGATTCTTGACCGTTGCTTCTTCATCAGCGTTGCCTGCCCGGCCCTCTGGGACCCCGCTGATTCTTACGCTGCCCCTCTTGAACGCAGCCCCCAAGTTCTCTTCTCGCCTCTTTGCTTCTTTTCAGGCTCTTCCCCCGATCTTCTGCTGTCGTCTGAGGTTTTCTGCACCTCATCCTGGATCTCCCAGATTCTGCCCTCAGCAGCCGTTACTCTGGTTTTCCGTTTCGCCCACCAGGGTTTGTTTTTCCATTCTGACTTTTCTGTGTGCTGTTTTCCCATTTCTGCTTTCATATTCTCTTGTGTTCTGTTGCTGGTCCGTTCCACGGTTTCCCTGGGCCGGTTAAACACGTTAAACACGCTCTGTTTGGGGTTCTGTCCGGGTCTTCAGGACTTCAGTCTTTGCCCACTGCCCGTGGCGGCGCTCTGCGTGGCTTTCCCAGGCTTCTCTTTGTAATCTGGGGCTGCGTCTTGCCCATGTCACTCTCGGCATCCTCCCTCCCTGCAGGGAGATGTCTCAGGGAGCTCTGCTGAGGGACAGAGAGAATTTTGCAGCTCTGCTAGCTGCCACCATTTGGGGATTGGAGCTGCTCGGGTAGGGGTAGGGTTAGAGGTTAGTGGTTAGGGGTTGCGTTAGGGTAGGCTAGGGTTAGGATTAAGGTTGGATTGTGTTGGTTGGTTTAGGGGAGTATTAGGGTTAGGCTTAGGGTTGGGTTAGGTTAGGTTGGGTTAGGGTATAGGTTAGGGGTTAGGAGTTAGGGTTAGGGTTGGGTTAGAGTAGGGTTAGGGTTAGAGTGGGGTTAGGGTTAGTGTTAGGGTTTGGGGTTAGGGTTAGTGTTGGTTTGGGTATGCATTAAATGCATTATGCATTATGTATGTATGCACTTACATGCATTCATGGCTATAGGTAGTAGTGAAGTCACCTGGACTCCCAGGTTCCCAAGTACTTGGGAAATAGGATGCAAATGAATCACTACATCTTTGGGTATAAAGCACTTCACAGGATGTACTTGGACAGATAGTACAGCACGCAGGGCACTTGCGCCCCGCACACTTGGTCCCCTGAGCACAGAGCCAGGAGTAAGTCCCGAGCACAGCCCAAACGACCCATAAAGACTTGTCACAGGAAGGCACGTGCTCCCTTGAGTGTCATATAGAGTTTGTTTTGTCTCTGTTCCGGGGATGACGGGAATGTTTAGGGCTGTGGTGGGTTTGGAGGGAGCTTCTGTGTGTTTGGTGTTGTGTCTCCACACCGCCCATGGAGGGGCTGGGGAGAAGGCGCCAAGGGCCGCTTGGGGATCTGGGTGCTATTCCTGGTGCTTCACGGCCCCCAGTGTTTCTGGGAGATGCAGCAGCAAACAGGGAACTTACTCCTCTTTGTGTAGTCACCCCTCACGACACCTGGCTATATTAATGCACGCGTGGGCACACACACACACACACACACACACACACACACACACGCACACGTTGTGTTTCCAATCTCTTATTTCTTTAAATAATAGAAATAGACGGTCATTCGTCTTTATCCTTCCCGTGGGTGGCTTGTCTCGGAATGAATGATGTGTTTTCTTTACTCGAGGCTTTTGAAGAATTTTTTTTTTCTCAAAGGAGAAAAAAAGAATCAAAAGATTGGAAATGGACAGACTTTGAACATGCCATTGAAAGAACATGTGGGTGTAGCGGGTCGAACGTATATACTCTTTGAACCTCGGCTTGTGTTTGATCTGGTTAACCCAATAAAATACAGGATGTAATCTTTCGTAATTACCAGAGTCCTGGTGCCTGAACCTGCCTGCAGGTTAGGTCCGTGATCCGCGCGAGGAAAGGGCGTCTTTGCTCTGATGACTTGAGGCTTTATCTCAGCTGGCAGGGCGCCAGCAGCAGGCTCGGGACAAACGCCCGACTTCACTTCTGTTGTGCGCCTCAACGGTGAAGGCTATTGTCAGTGCCGAGACCTCCCCCAGGCAGGACGCCGAGACGGACGGGCTGGTTTCTCAGAGGCTTTGCAGCGCTCGGGGTTCGCGGGACCAGGCAGCATCTGGCAGAGCAGCAGCGCACACCTGGCCGAGACTCAGGGGTGGGGCTGCAGCTGAGGATGCCCCCTGCCCTTCTCCCCACCCAAGACTCCCTCATGGCAGCAGCCAAGTTTCTTAGAAGCTCTTTGTGGCAATAAATCAGACGTCAGACGCCAATGGATGCAGGCCGAAGCGCGGAGGGGCGGCTGGAAAGCTTTGATGGGGGAGATTTGTTTTAAGACAAACAGGAAACCCCAAAGCCAAGTGGAAATAGACACTTTTGGGGGGTGGGCGGGTGGGGGGAGCATCTCTGTGCTGCTGGGCGTGTCCATGCTCGTGTCTGGGACATCTCAGAAGCTTTCTATGAACGTGAGTCCGTGTGTGATTCCCAAAGACCAACCGTAATGCCCCAGAACTTCTCCACAGCCTGTGGAGTCTGGTGGCAGCTGGGGTCGACGTGACAGATGATGCCCAGTGGTGCCCGGGCCAGCCAGAGTAGGAAGGGCAGGGAAATTGCGCCACTCCGGACACTGGGAACACAGACTCGGCCAAGAAGGGCAGCTTGGGCTCCCCAGCCCGATCCCTACCCTCAGAGCACAGGGTCCTGCACCGGAGGACGGGTCCTGGCCCAGAGCTGCGAGGGGAGCTGGGGGTAGCTGGGGGTATCATTCCGAGGGCAGCTGGGTCCAGCTGCTTCCTACCCCAGCTGTGGACTGCAGAGAATTCAGTGTCCACGTGCAGGGGTTTGGGCAGTGGCATCTGTCTAGGCCTAGCAGGGCCATCAAGGGTCATGCTCGGGGCCGTCCTGTGATACGAGGCCTCCAGGCGGCAGGCGGTCACTCCCAGACCCATGTGCTCTCCATGGGCACTGGCCGTCCAGCCCTTCCAAAGGGTTCTGGGCATGCCCCCTCCCCATGAGGTTTCTTCTACGGGTAAACTGAGGCCTGGGGTGGCTAATCCCCCCCTCCCCTGCCCTTGTCCATCACATCCAGTGAAAGGGACTGAGCAGGGCTTGCCCGTGAGATGGACGCCCATGGCCATAGTGCTTAGTCGGTGTTGGTGTGAAGTGTCCAGATGCCCACTCTGCACCCTGTCCCTGCCCCCTCTCAATGCTCTGAGAAGGCCCAGGGCCACTGTTCCCCGGGTGGGGGTGTCCTGATCCTGTGTCCCCTGGGCGGGGGGGTGTCCTGACCCTATGTCCCCCTGGTGGGGGTGTCTTGACTTCGTGCCCCTCGGGTGGGAAGTTGTCCTGACCCCATGTCCCCCAGGTGGGGGTGTTCTGACCCCGTGTTCCCAGTGTTGGGGGTGTCCTGACCCCGTGTTCCCTGGTTAGGGGGTGTCCTGACACCGTGTTCTCGGGGTGGGGGGTGCTAACCCTGTGTTTCTGGGGCGGGGGGGGTGCTCTGACCCCGTGTTCCCCAAGCGAAGGGTGTCCTGACCCTGTGTTCCCCAGGGTGGATGGTGTGCTGAGCCCCTGTTTGTTTTTTCTTGCAGAACAACAGCTCCCTGGTGTGGTGCCAGAATCACAAGCAGTGTTCTAAGGTACGTGGCCTCATACTGCATGCAGGTTCCTAAAAGTGTGGGATAATGGGGGGGTGGGGGAGAGAGAAGAGAGAGAGGAAAGAGAGAGGTGGAGAGAGAAGGGAGAGATGGGAAAGATGGGAGGAGAGACAAGAGAGAGAGGGAGAGAGAAAGGAGAGAGGGAAGGGGAGAGAGAGGAGAGACAGAGAGGAAGAGAGGGAGAGGAGAGGAGAGAGAAGGAGGGAGAGCGGGAGGGAGGGAGGGAGGGAGGGAGGGAGGAGGGAGGAGGGAGGAGGGCTGGACGCAGTCCCTGGTGCTGCTCTGGCCCGTCTGGGAGCATGTGTGTTGTGAGCCCCTGGGGTCAGCTGTGGAGACGGCGCTGTGTTGTCACATACATGTGGGGTCACATCCGCAGTGATGACACACAGTCTCTCGCTCTAGCCAGGGTTTCACGTCCCTTTGGCATCTTGTTTCTGTCCTGTGGCTCTTTGTCCTACTGGTTGGCCCCCAGCCACCACCCTGATGCCATGCCCTGGCCTTCTCATCGATACAGGTTGATTGGTTTCTTTTGTGTCCACACTCAGCAGTGTTTGGGCCTGACTCCTGGCTCTGTGCTCAGGAATCGCTCCTGCGGGGCTCTGGGGAGTCTGTGGGGTGCTGGGGATCAACCCCGGTCAGCTGTGTGGCAGGCAGACGCCCCGTGTGCTCTACTAGCGCTCTACCCTGGAACTGACGTGTATAGAGTAGGAGCTCTATCTGCAGAGGAATTCTTGTTTCCTTTGGTTTTGAGGCCACACTGGTGATGCTCAGGGATCACTCCTGGGTCCGCACTCAGGAATGACTCCTGGCAGTGCCCAGGAGACTCTGTGGATTCCGTGGATAGAACTGGGGTCAGCCGTGTGCCAGGCAGGTGTCCCACCCACTGTACTATCTCTCCATCCCAGTAATTTGATTTTCAAACAAGTCATGCCTTTTCTGATGCACGTATTCCAGACATCACACGTGTCCTATGCATCTTGTGTAGATTGGACTACATTATGTGTTTGTCCAAATCTCCAACAAAATACACACACACACACACACACACACACACACAGTACTCTACCTTCAGAATGGCATCAAATTTTACATTGAGTTTATGCCACCAAAGCAGTTTATAGAGCTTGTGGCCAGCGTTGAGTTCTTTTTCATGAAGGATAGTTTTTGACAGAGATCCCTTTTCTGAGTGGGGGTCCTTTTCACTTTGCCTTTCCGTTAGCACGGCCCTTGTAAATGAGGGGCCAGCTGGCAATTTCTCACCAAGGCCTGAGAGTGGATATTTTCCTGTCACCCATCGGATCCCCAGCTCCCACCGAGTCAGTGATAGACAACATATAAGCCTTTCCATCATTGTAAGGAAACTTTTTTATGGTCACTAATATGGGTCCATGACATCATCTTCCTTTCATAAATTCTATTTTCCCCCCCAACTCTTAAAAAATGAAGTCAGAATCATTCTTAGCTTCCCAGATCTAGCAAGAGAGTTTCCAGGTGGAATTCTCTGTGGTCCTTTGTGAATCTCTTGTCTACGCCGTGACACTCACGTATGCAAAACCAACCTAAATTCCAACTATTCCTTTGCATTCTTCTGTCCAAAGAAACAGCCCTTTCCATGTGCTCAAAACCGGATGGTGGGGCTGGAGCAATAGCACAGTGTGTAGGGTGTTTGCCTTGCACACGGCTGACCCGGGTTCGATTCCCAGCATCTCATATGGTCCCCTGAGCACCGCCAGGGGTAATTCCTGAGTGCAGAACCGCTAGTTGTGACCCTCCCCCACAAAAAACCAGATAGTTTTCCTCCCTTACTGTATGCTCTACACTACGGAAACTGCCGCTGGGCTGGAGCGATAGCACAGCGGTAGGGCGTTCGCCTTACAAGCGGCCAACATGGCCAACCCGAGTTCGATTCGTCCGCCCCTCTCGGAGAGCCCAGCAAGCTACCGAGAGTATTTGATATGCCAGACACAGTAACAACAAAGTCTCCAATGGAGACGTTACTGGGCCCGCTCGAGCAAATCGACGATCAACGGGAGGGCCTTTACCTTACCTTTACTGTATGCTCTGCACTGTCTTGGGAAGATGTTCTGAATGAATGAATGGTTGACATTGATGAGAAAAATATCACCGCAGTCACCGTTCATTTCTGAAAGTTAAAAATCTGATGATTAGAGCTGGTCAAAATGAAATGAGGTCCGCTCAGGGGAAGGAAGACTCTGCATGTCCGTTGTCTTCCCCGTCCCCTGCTTTCAGTATCTCCCTGTGTCTGTTGTCTTTGAGCTTCTTCCTTCTGGTGCCTGACTAAGTACATTTGTGTGTGAGCTGTGCGTTGCCCCTCAGAGAGACCCGCATCCCATTACCTTCCCCAGCATGTCTCTGTGAAGCAACCGCCCTCAGGACACTTGCCCTTCCGCCTCTGGGTGTGAGAACTCCCTCCCTGGACACTTGTTTCCCATTTGGTCTCGAGGCTGCGTGTGGGAACGGGGGTGATTCGGGGCCTATCTTGGCCTTGCATGCTGCTTTGATCTCAGTGGGCGTCTGGGTATTAGGAGGGCTATGGCTATGAATTCTTCCTCATTTTCTGGGTGTATTCAGAGCCAAATTTAGAGGTGAGGAAAATTGGTTTTGTTTGTGTGAACATCTGGCCATCTTCATTTGACATCTGTGAAATTTGTTGGATGAGGGTCAACCCTCTGAAACACAACCAAATGGAGCGTGGAAGGTTTCTGGTTTGTGTTCTACGCTTCCTAGGATCCACGTGGTACTGGCTGTAAAGGGAAACAGAACTCACTGGCCGTGAGGGTGCCAAATGCTAGTACCTCTCTACCTGCCAGTGTGATTCACCTCAGGGGACCCTATATGTGCCTGTGCGACTCACCTCAGGGACCCCTAGACCAGCCTGTATGGCTCTCCTTAGGGACCCCTGTACTGCTTGTGTGACCTCACCTCAGGGATCCCTATACCTGCCTATGTGACCTCACCTCAGAGATCCCTATACCTGCCTGTGTGACCTCACCTCGGAGATCCCTAAAGCTGCCTGTGTGACCTCACCTCAGGGACCCCTATACCTGCCTGTGTGACCTCGCCTCAGAGATCCCTATACCTGCCTGTGTGACCTCACCTCAGGTGCTCTATACATCTCTGTGTGACCTCACCTCAGAGATCCTTATACCTGCCTGTGTGACCTCACCTCAGGTGCTCTATACTTCTCTGTGTGACCCACCTCAGAGATCCTTATACCTGCTTGTGTGACCTCACCTCAGAGACCCCAATACCTGTCTGTGTGACCTCTCCTCAGGAGCTCTGCACCTGCCTGTGTAACCTCACCTCAGGGATCTCTATACTGCCTGTGTGACCCCACCTCAGGGACCCCTATACCTGCCTGTGTGACCTCTCCTCAGGTGCTCTGTACCTGACTGTGTGACTCTCGAGGACCCTATCCCTGCCTGTGGGACTCTCTTCAAGGAGCCCAGCTTCTGGCCATTATGACGTCACCTCAGGGACCTTATATCTTTTTATGACCTCAAGTCAGGGGCCCCTCTTCCTCACCGTTTGATTCACCACAGAGCCCCGTGTGTCCTCACCCCACAGCCCCATCCCTGCCTCTGTGACCTCAGCTCACAGCCCCTGTGGTCCCTGTGTGACCTCAGCGGAGAGCCCCTGTCCTCCCTTTGTGACTTCTGCCTGGCGCTTCCTGTCCCAGCCTCTTCAGAGCTTCTTTACAGCTGCTGGTCTCTATCTGTGTGATGCCACCTCACAGCCCCATCTCTGCCTGCGTGATTCCACAGAGAACTCCATCTCTGTCCATGAGACCCACCTCAGACACCTGTCCCTGCTTGTGTGACCCACCTCAGTGCCCTTGTTTCTACTTGTGTGACCCTGGAGAAGACCTTTCCAATTCGTTGCAAGGCCTCAGGAACCATTCTGCCCTATCCAAAGGTCCCCACCTCACAATCCCATGTCCCAGCTTAAGTGACTCACCTCTTCTGTGACCTAACCTCAGCATCCGTGTCCCTGCCTGTGTGACCCCACCTCAGAGTTCTGTGCTCCTGTTTGTGTTACCCCACCTCAGAGCCCTTTCCCTGCCTCTGTGACTCCACCTGAGTCTTGTGTCTCTACTTGTGTGATCCTACTTCAGAGCTGTGTCTCTGTGTGACTCCACCTCAGAGTCCTGTCTTCCTGCCTGTGTGATCCCCACCTCAGAACCCTGTGTCCCTGTTTGTGTGACCCCATGACAGAGCCCATGTCTCTGCCTGTGTGATTCCACCTCAGAGGCCCATGTCCCTAATTGTGTGACCCCTTGATACCTTGATAGAGCCCATATTCCTGCCTTTGTGACTCCACCTCAGAGTCCTATGTCCCTTTCCGTGTGACCCCACTGCCTCTGTGACCCCACCTCATAGTCCTGTGTCTCTGCCTGTGTGATCCCACCTCAGCTGGATGTGTGACCACACCTCAGAGTGCGGTGTTCCTCCCTGTGCGACACCTGCTCAGAGTGCTGTGTTCCTGCCTGTGTGACTCCATGTCTGAGTCCATGTCACTTCCCGTGTGACCCCACCTCAGAGCCGTGTCCCTGCCTGGGTTCCAGAGGGCAGGACCGTGGTCCACTGGCTGCTTGTCCCGGAGCAGCAGACCGCATCAGGAGGAGGCGACTGTTCCGTCGGGGTCAGGATGAGCTGTGGCTGTGCCACGCTCACAATCACCCCCTTGAGTCCCTCCCAGCACCTGGGTTTGATTTCTCCACACCGACTCCAGCCCCTGGCCCCTGGGTCCCAGTCAGCCCGGCTCCTGCAGTGTGGGCTGCTGACCAACGGGCAATAATCTGTGCAGTCCTCAGGGAGAGGCAGGCAGCCCTGGGGTCTGCTGCCTGTGGCCTAGAGGCTTTAAAACAGCTACTGATCCCTCCACCCCCTCCCATATGAGTTGATCGAAGTACTTTCAAGTTTGGCACCAACCCCGGTGGTTCTCAGGGTCACATTTGACTC